TCAAACTAATATGATAAGATTGATAACTAAGCTGAGCACGAAGCTCCTATCTAATGGCAGACGTGCCAGTCTTATATAGAGCCTTCGTTCTCTTGTGCTAGCTTGCTAGACTCGTCGCTCGGTCGCTGCTAGACTGGTAGACCAGTCGCCCCGTCTAGCGACATATATCACGTGACTGTAACCAAAGGAAATCCTTGGATCGCTTAGCTAGTCTAAGCATCCCTATTTGCTATAACTACTCGGATAGTGCTTAACCTGTCAGGGCGCCGCCTGGTCTTCACTCGTCACGTGCTCACACGTGATTCGTGACACGAAATCCAGCTCCGTCACATTTATACTAAATAAGATTAAAATTTAAGATTTACAATTTACGATTTAGTATTTACTCTATTCGACCTTTTAGTATATTCAGGATACTATAATAGTATAATAAAATAAGTAAATTATACTTAAAGAAAACTATAGAATAGAAAACTATAGAATAGAAAACTATAGAATAGAAAACTATAGAATAGAAAATATTTATAAGTATTTTATTAGAAAAAGTTTTTTAAGAGTAATTAGAAAATAAAGTTAATATAAAAAAGAACTTATAAATTCTAAACTAGAATATTATTATAGTATTATTTTATTCTATATTTCTAAACTTTATTACTGGAAATACCTAGTCTAGTTAAATTAAAGGAGAGTAATTAGAAGATTTTTAAAATAGTAGATATTTATAAGTTTTATCTAAAGATTTTAGTTCCTTAAATATAAGAAGTAAATAAATTATTAGAAAGTAAAAAGAATGTAATATAACTACAAAGATTTATCTTATTTAGTATTTAGATTAGTATACTATAGAAATCATTAATTATAAAAATATACTCGTACGCGAAATTCTAGTTATAATTACTCTTATATATATTATCTATATAATAATTAAAGCGTTTTACAATTAAGTAAAGGCTATTAATAGTATAACTAGTTAGAGCTATCTATTATAGAAGAAATGATCGAAACTATAAATAAGATATAAAGAAAGGTACTAGGAAACCCTTTTACCACGTGATTTACCCCTATTATAACTCGCTTAAATTCCTTTACTTTCTATTTCTTAGTTCTTTTTTAAAAATACTATCTAATAGACTTTAGTATTAGAATTACATTTATTATATTATAAAACAATATAAAGTATACTTCTAGAGTTCTATTTAAATAAATTTGAGCTTTTAGGGGGTCAAAGTATTAAGTTTAAATCTGAATTCACCTACTACTTTGCCATATAATACTAGATAGCATTCACCTATGCTTTAGCATAATTAACAAGTTCTGTTTTATTACTACTGGTTTATCTTTGATAACTGCACCTTTCCCTAGACAACCTCAGGTTGCGAATCGGCAAAGGAGGGAAGAACGGTCCGATCGCTAAGCGAAGGTCAACAAACTCAACCACACGTCTCCTCTTACCGACGCGCTCTTTTGATCTGATACTAGCAACAACAACACCACCACCACTACTACTACATTCACCGTTGCTTCTACCGACACAAACAAATACCAACCACGAATACAAACATCAAAATGGCAACACCGACCTGGTGGCAAGAAGACAACCACCCGTTCTCCCTCCCTCGCCACGCCCCCCTCACCCTCCAACTCAAGGTCACAGTCCTGAACCTGTTTTTCTCGCGGGACTTCCTCTCCGACTTCCCCCGCTCCTGGGTCTTTGGCTACTTCAAGCCAGTCAAGCTGGAATTGAACCAGCACATCTACCGCGAAGAGGAGATCCCACCGCGGGTTTCCTCGCGCCTCCACAACGGGGCCCGGTTCCTACACGTCGGCGTCGATACCTCCTCGGGTATCGTAACCCAGCGCACAGCTGGGTCAACGAAGTCGACGTACCAGATCCGGATCACGGCCAGCATTCGGGACGAGAAGGGAGTGGTTGGCGTGGACGCGAAGGAGGGCCCCATCAGTTGGACTTTGTGCGTGCAGTTCGACTTGGCGGAGGATTCGGAGGAGAAGAACGATATTCTCGGTTGGGGATGGGGACAAACCATCAGGCTCCTTCGGGATGCTGTGAAGGGGGGGTTTGCTGAGGATGGAAGCCCGGCTGGAGGGCCAGAGAGAATGGTCCCGCACGTAAGTCTTGGGATAGCTTCAAAAGCTCGTCATCAGAGGAATTCAGACTAACTTATGAATATCATAGTTCTTGGTCGGCGCCTACTGGATCACCACCGACAGAACCGGATAAGAGACTCGCGCGCCCGTGTTGATTAAGCGAGTCTCGGACGCCGTACCAGTCGCCGATCTTCTGTACGAGTAGTCCGCTGTAAGAAGCATCCGTCTCCTAATAAGAATGAGTTGGAACTTCTGGAGAGCAATTTAGCCATCATACTCTTGCAACGCACCGCCAACGTAGATCAGTCACCGACCCGAGAAAGTTGTTCTGTTTTGTGGTTGGACTTCCTCTCGAGCTTGAAGCCAATGGCCTTGAAGTACGTAGTTTGAGAGAAGAAGAAGCATGCAAAAGCTATTCTGACAGATTTTAGACTACGGGGTTTCCTCTCCTTTCGTTTCTTTGTTTGTTCGCCAATTCTCGTACCAAAGGGGGTGTTGATACATGATGTAGCGGTTTCGTTTTCGTTTGTTTTTTTTTGCTCTCTTCCCGTACCATAAGGGGTAAGAGTGATATGGCAGTTCTTTTGGGCATCAGTTTCCTGTTCTGTTTTGGGGACGTTGAATGAATGGAAATACTGTACCACCACCACAAAACACGCTTGACCCTTTCTGTGACATATAAGAACTGACTATCCTCTGATTAAGTTTCATCAAAGCAGCCTCATGGATATCAATTTTGAATTGGAATCAACAGAACATAAGATTGAAGAACGATCTAAGCTCAAAACCAGTGAACCCCAAAGCCCAATCTATCTATAAAAACCCCATAAAAAAGAAACCATACAAAGTCAATATCCTTCAGTATCTCCACCCCCCATATCACACAGTAATAACTATGTACAAATAAAACCAAAGCCACAGAAACACTAATCACACAGAAGTGAAACAGCAGCATAGTTATACACTGGTGGAGAAACACACCCGACCTTATTCCCAACAGCAACACCATCAAACGGAAATCCATGATATTCATTCTGAGGAGAGAAAGTGCACCCATTGTTAATGCTAAAGATCTGCAAATAGCATCCCACATTACCGGCTGGTGGAGCAGTTGTCAAAACAGCGCTAATGGCACCAGCGGCGGGCATATTGACAACGGTGCAGGTGTTTTGCGCAACATTTACAACGGTGGTGGTTCCGCCGTATCCAGCTGGTGGTGGATATTGTGAGTTTGGGCAGGTGTAGGGGCCAGAGTAGACTGTGACTTGAGTGACGGCTGCTACTTGGGCTGGCTTATTGGCTCCACCTTGTTTTCGTGGGTGGAGTGTTTCTGGGACAATCATTGCGGTGGATACAGCTGCGAGAGAGAGGAATGTAGAGATAACGTTCTAGGAGTCTGTGAGCAAGCGAAGTCTCAATGGGATTGAGGAAACTTACAAGAGTCAACATTTTGAAGAGTTGAGGTTTTGTGGTTTGAGTTTGGTGAGTGGTAAAGGTATTCTGTAAAAGATATATCTGTAGAAGATGTATTCTGTAGAAGATGATGAGTTCAAACAAACGGAGGAAACCAATCCACCTTATATCCTCGACTCCCCTCAATCAAACCCCCTTCTTACAAAATCAGGAAATCATACAATAGCAAACTCGAAAAGGCCTCGACCGCCAAGGTGTCTATCGCTTAAATTTGATGAGGAGGCAGCAAGAATCCAAGAACCAATAAGACGCCACCACAAAACATATAGAGACCATTGCATGGGCAGGATTGTCCAGAAAGCAGTCTTACCAGGCAAGTCAGGAAATGCCTCTCGACTCTGGCCTCGAGGTTAGTACAAGTGGCTGTTGCGGACATGATATCAGTCAGGCCTAGGCCAGGGGAGCTGAAGTTGTCAAAATCAAGTCTCCCCACTAAACATCCGCGCACGTCCTAATCATACGCTCTACGAAAACCCCAATTACGCGATAGCGCCTTTCATAGTAAATCCAGATTGACATCTGCGTACTGTACCTGTAAGCTAAGGGCCCACGAGTTTGGCAGACGCCACTCACCATCTTCTCGCTCAAGATTACATTTCTCCCATCGAACTACCGCGGGTCCTGCCTTCCAGTCCAAACGCCGCACCAGGTTGCACCACAGTATTTCCAATTGCACCTGTAGAGCTGCTTTCGCTTTTGGATGGCTCTGGTTCTGGGCATCGTTAGACCAAGACTATAGGGGACGGCCACTGCTCGACGATGGCCTGGAAATTGGAACGCGGTGTGCTCAAATCAGGAGTAGGTAGCTGGTGGACTACCTAGGTAGGCTGGAAAGCACCTCTGCGGCCCTGCGGGAGTTGGTTGGTTATGAGGCCAGAGGCCTCCAGTCACTCCTTCCCAAAGACTGATGCCAACCATTCCAGCTCCATTAAACCCAATCCAATCGGCAACTTTGATCGCTGCCTTTTCAAACGAGAAGCCGTCATCCTCTTCGTGGCGCGCATAAAGCACACAACACGATGAGAAAGGTGGAGGCGAAAAATTTCCCAGAATTGAACATAAAGCCCAAATACTAGACCGTCAGAAGACGTGCAGACAATGGTCAATGATACCAGATCAGGGTTACTGAATCCGAGCGAACCATGCCAGAGACCTACGTAAAAATCAATGTCAACAGAATGTAGAGACTTGCTTCGCACTCAATTAAACCCAGGTATGTAACCCGTTTGCGATAGCACGACTTCAGGAGTGATTAAAAGAGATTGAATTTTATTTTCGTAGTATTCATATGAAAAAGTAGTGATCGATGGTCTCGTATGTCATTGAGGTCCATGGCAAAAAGTTCGAGTCGATCACTAAAGCTTGTCAGTTATACCTTGCTTGGGGACAAGGAAAAGAAAACAGGTGAGTCCAGAAAGCGCTAATCTACAACTTAACAACCATAACACCATTGGGTATCGCTTATCAAATTTGTACGCCCAATGATTGACCATCCTCGACTACACTCAACCGTGGCGCAAAATGCCATGGCTACGGAGCAATCTTCAAAAACAGAACCAAATTGCCATCGAAAGAAAGTATTACACATGAGGGGGACGCGGGCTATCAATCCTCGATCGGACCAATGAGTTTTTCGTGCAAATAAGCCAAATGCGCACGTTGTTGTTCAAAAGAATCGTAGTTGCCGGCTAAGATGCATCCGAGTAAACTCGCGTTCTCACGGTTCTCAAGACTTCGTAGATGTGCCATTTGTTGCTGTATGCTTTTGTAGGCGCTTGAGAAACAGTAAAGAATTGTTTGAGTGTTCGTGGAGCCACCAGCAATGTCGTTGTCTGCTCTATTGGGGTCGATGATCGAAAACTTGTCCATGCCTGCTTTACCGCTCGTTCTGTACGTAATGTTCTTGACTCGATTCTGATACTCGTTAGCAATGATGAATTAAAAAGAGATTGATGGCGAGGCATACCTTTGGAATATACTGCGGAGGCTTCGTTGAAATTGCTGTGGTCGACACATTGAATCGATTGCCATAAAGATCAAAAAATTCCATCAAAACCTCACCAAGGTGATGTTCTGGAACCATGCTTTTACTCTGAATCTGTGGCATCTGTTGAAGGAGACTTACAACGAGACAAGTGACGGACATTCCACCAATGCCTCCATGTTGAGGTTCATTAAGGTTTCTCATAGCCAAGAAGTGTTTGACGATGACCACTAGAATAGTCATTGCAGGAAACTCAGCCTTCCAATCTTGGAAAGTTTGGTTCGCAATCAATCCGGTGCTATTTTCAAATGAGATATCCACCCTAAGTCCAGTGAGTTTGTCCTGGTACTTTACGATGGGGACTTTCGCTCCGATGACTTCCTGGACGCTTCTTGTGATAGCTAAATCATCTGAGCTCCTCAACCATCCTCCAAAATCCCGTACCATACTCTGCAAGTGGTGCTTTGCGGGGGTATTGCCATACTTCATAAATTTGTCGGAAACACAAACCAGATCCATATCAGACGTGGGAAGATACAAGCCAGCAGGGAAAGAGCCAAAACTCTGAATGTCGTAATTTGGACCAAATGCATGCTTGACGGCTGAACGAAGCTTCTCGATGACCTGTGCACGCATGGTTTGCTCAAAGGCACGAGGCTTGACATAGTGGTAGAAGTCCATGATTTCTTTGTGCAACCTATACAAGATCAGCGGATGAGTATGACTGATAAAGTATCGTGGGGCTTACCATAATCCCATATTGTTAGTGTTCGAGTGATCGACAGCAACCCATGGCGTGCCAGTTGAACCAGACGGAACCTTCCATTTTTTGTCCATCGTACCATTCGTCTTCGGCTTACCGTAATTCTTGAGACTATAGATTTTGGGGGGACCCTTAATCTCGTCTCTAATAGTTCGCTTGCGGTTACCTAAAGCAGGGTCCGTAGTAAGATCAATCGCCTGTTCTGGCTTGCTTGCTGTCGATGTGGAAGGCTTGGATGGAAGCGGATGGGTGATGTTGAGAGCTGGAGCAGACTCGACTGAAGCAGACTCGACGGAAGCAGACTCGACTGGACGCGGTTGAGATGAAGGCAGGGGAGGCTCTACGTCTTTTTGACGAGGACCAGTCGGGGCATCTGCGGGCGGAATACCGTATGATCCTACCTTGGTAGCTGACTCATCAATCGCCATGCTGTCTTCTCCAAAATCATCAAAAGAAATGAAATCATCAGTTTCGGCGCCAGCCTTTTTGATGCTATCGGAAGTGTCAGTGTTCCGAGCCTTGCGGATCAACTTGACCACATCTTTCTTCTTGCGCTGAGACTCATCAGGGGGAGGCAAAGCGGTGTATGGGTCGGGGTTGGACCATCGAGGAACACTGTCGCCATCTGCAGCTTTGCTGACTGCGCGAACTTGTTTCTTCTTGGGTTGCTCAGACTCATTTTCGTCTTCAGAGACACTCATATCAGCTTCGTCGCTGTCGGACAAATCACCAATATTTTTGAATCTAGTCCCGCTACTTTTGTCTTCATCAATGCCTTGCATAAGCTCTGGAGTGGGAGCACGATTGGTTTGGAGGAAAGCTCGATCTGAGGCGCGTCTAAGACTACCCCGACCGCGAGCAGCACCACGGCCACGACCGCCGCGATCATTTCTGCCAGGGCGTTCGCGTCGAGTGTTGTCTCTTGCTCTGTTTCTATCCATTGGCCGAGACGGAGGGGATCGGGATCGGGATCGGGGCCGATAGCTGTTGCGACCATGGTCAACACCAGCCGGCGCATCATAACGAAAGGTGAAGTTGCCTTCGCGGCGGTCATCCCTCGGGTGGTTGTCTCTGCGATCATCTCTGCGGTCGTCTCTGCGATCATCTCTGCGGTCGTCTCTGCGGTCGTCTCGAGGACGGTACGTATCGCGGTAAGGATCGTAGCTATCGTGGCCATTGTTTCTTGGTGGAGATCGTCGACTGTAGGAAGGTCGAGGATCGTAGTCATCGTTGGCATATCCACCATCGTGAAGACTCTCGCCACGGAATTGATATTGCGGTGGGGGTCTAGAAGAGTAAGAGCGGTCATCATCCTGGCGATGGTAGCTTGACTCCTGAGGACGATACGAATCACCGCCACCATGAGACGACTGGGGAATGAAGTCAGGCCTAGGAGGCAATCCTGGGGGGAGAGGTGGTTGTCGCGACATAATCGTGCGTTGAGTGTTGTCGGATTGCGATGTTTGTGAGACCGTGATGTGGGTTTGGAGGAGGAAGGGAATCTTTTGTGCTAAAATCGGTAGAACTCCGGATGAACCACCCTGGCTAACCTTATCATCAGTGTTTATCACGGAATAAACAATAGCCGGCCCCCCAGACCTGTGGTCTAAGTTTGACAGCGAGAGTTGGGTGAAAAGGGTCTATGTTGCAGCTTTCTTTGGATGTACAACAGCAGCCATCTATGTATCAATCTCATAGAGCCTCCTCAGTTTCTTATTTTTCAAATTTGTCCCGTCAACAAAGGATTTGGACGCATAGCTGGCTGGTTGCCTTCTTAGGTACAACATCTGACTGTCCCCTCTTAGGTTGGTTGCGAGAGATACACTTCAACATGACAGACCAGGTAATATGCCATGCATCGTAGTGTAGAACTCTCATATTTTTCAGATACACTATCTACAAATGAAATATGGCGTTTTCTATCTACCCTCCTGTCTACGGAGTTGGTTTCCTTTCGTTGAAGTGTTGCGCAAGAATATGGTAACCAAACATCCCTACAGGCGATCTCGCATATCCTAGGGAAGATCAATTCGCTAGACTCGTATCTGCCTTCCTGTCGATATTGGTAATTCATCTCAAGTACTCCGTAGCTGAGCCAACGGGCATCGCCTGTCATATTAAGTTCGACTTCGCTAAAGTTCCTAGGCAAGCTCCAACGCTCCAACGATATCAAATTGCGACGGATTCAAGAAATACATGGGAGAGCATTGAGTGTCATCGCGCCTCTCTTGACATCCTTACAGGAATACCAAAGTGGTGTCATACAGAAAACTATATTGCTGGCAGGGGATGGACGCATTTTCCCAATAGTTTTTCGTCAGAGCAATTAGGTTAAATCGCACAGGTGTAACGTATAAAATAGCCTCTTATTGCCGGCTAAAATCGAGATTCCCGGAGTACTCTGCAGAATACATGGTTTGGGGATATGAAATCACGCAGCAATTGAACCCTTTCCTTTGATTTTCATCAAGAAATTATCTTGTGCATTAAACTTACAAGTGTAGATGTCAACAAGATGTTTCGCTCGCTAGTTTTGTCACCAGCAGTCATTGCACTTCTCCTACATAAACTTGTAGCAGCTGTTCCAACCGTCACGCTTGAGAAAAAGGGTATATGATACCAGGCACGTATTGCGTTTGAATGAACATTAAGCTAACTCAAACCCTCAGAACACATCTACCCGCTACCCGTTCTTGTCGAACCAGGCGACGAATACTATGAATGTGGCGAGTTTCCCGGAAGTCTGGCAGCATCTGATCCAGATGCATACTTCAAATACGAACACGATACACCTCTACTCATCTCCTGCTGGGAGCTGGATAACACCGGGGCCCTATATTTGAAGACTGTCGAGGACGAATGTTTCATCGAGGAATATTTCATCTACTACAATGAAACGCTGGATATCACATACGAGGACGTCTTACCACGATGCAAACCCCATCGCCCATTTCAAGCCTGGTGGGGAAAGCCAGGAGATCCAACGATCGGGGGAACGGTTGATTCTGATCTGGGTTCATGCTATCATTGTCCTGATCAGGATTGTGCGTCGTCGCCGGTTGATTATTTGATGCTGCATGTTTATTGCTGGTTGAATGGGTCAACGGTCAACGGAACCAAGTTTGTAAACACTACTCTGGTCACTAATGGCAGTGCTAATTAATTTGTAGTCAATGGTGGCGTCATGCCCACAAGAGTAAAGATTATGAAAAGTGTTATGTTCCAGCAATTGTGTTCGACAGGCTCGATTATAGTATGTAATCTCGATCAGGCAGCCTTCGAAGCTAACATCATCATAGACGAGACGGGGTCAGGAGAGAGATGTCCATCTTGGGACCAGCCAACAGAGGAGCCTGAATGATTCTGATTGATCGAAATATGCATTAATTTTTGGTGAGAAGCGGACATTGGAAAACGCCATTTTTACGGGCCACATTATATAATTAGATCAACTATTCAAACTCATCCATGAATCAATGTGCTATCTCGAACTGATGGAGCTTAATAACTGCTGCAGCTCATTCTTCTATCATTGGGATACACAATCTGAATGCTCTTAAATTATTAACTATGGAAAATCACTTACGTACCATGAGCTAGTTTTATGAAGCAACATACTGGCATGGAAATTCTCATTAGGCCAGATACATTGCCAACATTTTCTGATTGCGACGAATGATTGAACCCCTGAGAATAACACCTAGACTTTGAACTCTTTTTTTCTTAAATAACAAGATGGCGGGACTCAGAGGTTTCTGATCTCTTACTGTTAGCTGTAAAATTGATAACTGGAGTGCTGACAGAAATTGTGAAAACCAAACTCAGCACAATTATTTCATGTCCTCAATCATGTTATTGACCAGTAAGTCTTCATGAGATTATCGCAATCCGATCCTCCCCCTCCCCCCTCCCACCTTCACTGAGGCGAATTTTAACCCTTTATGAAGTCCATATCAAGGCTACCTATCCACAAGTCGGGAAAGAGCCCTGGAGGATATTCATCTTGGTCACGTGTATACAATTTTCCTCAATGCAGGTGCCGTCCACTCGCTGCATGTCTCGTACTCATGCAGGTACTATGTAATAAAAATTTCTTTCATGTTTTCTTTCTTACTCTTGTCAAACATGATTTATGAATTAAATTTATTTCCATTCCTGGTTGTCACTTATCAGTCTGGGGAAAAGTGGATTTCCCCAGCTTTCACATGGAATTTACCTGTACGGAGGCTGAGGACCGAGCCGAAGCATGGCGCAAGCATACCTCTTTGAGCAAAGAGACTTTTTGCTTCATCTCAAACGGTCTTCACTTCCCAATCATGACCTAGAAAAACATTGACAGCCTTATTGTGGACTATGCCGCACCCTAACAAAATTTTGTCAAACTCCTGGTAGCAGAGGTGAAGTGTACACGTCCTACACTTCCCTACATATTCGCCATCGCAAAGCCTGATTTGCCTGGTCGGCAATGACGTTGTAAATGGCTGCATTTGTACGTCCAAGCCCTCGCCAGTCCACAACCACTCTCCCCTCCAACCGACCAGCATGACTGATTATTATGTTTGCGCACACAGGAAACTCCATGGATGATGGCCTCTACTCTGACCTCAAGTAGAAGAGAGGATGATGGTTCAAGTGTCCACAGTCACGATCCTAATCCTCTGACGGTAGCTTCGTTTTCGCCAGTCACCCTTTCCCACGTCTCTTCTGCGAATAAACAGCGCTCAACTATTCTAGTGCATCAGAAATCCCCGCTTTTGATCGCGACTCCACCACAGATTACAAGGGCTTTGGCTTATTCGCACCCCTTTCTTTTACCGCTGAATAAATTGGTGGGGTTGTTAACGTGGACAACGGATGATCCTTGGGAGAGCTTCTTGCTCGTAGCGGGGTTCTGGGCCGTGGTCCTCTATGGAGACACTTTGATGCGATATGCGGGACCAGTGGTAGTTGTGATAGGATTGATCTTGGGAATGTACAGTCGGAGATACTCCCCGCTATCATCAACAGGAGTGACGGGAGAGAAACTGAAGAAGGGACATAAGAGGGAAGCTTCGGAGGCAACGAATACCAAACACCAGAAAACTCTAGACGAGATTGTGGAAACGCTAAAGATATTCACATCGAGATGCAATGTTCTTCTAGATCCATTGCTTGAGCTCACCGATTTTCTCTCTACCCAAAGAACCGCGACTTCCGCCACCACGAGACCTGCTCTTACCACACTGTTACTACGAATTCTTCTTGTAACGCCATTATGGATTGTTCTTACTCTTCGGCCAATACATATCATTACAACGAAGAGAGTTGTTTTGGTTTCCGGCACTTTGTTTTTAACATGGCACTCTAGACCAACTCGAGTTTCCAGAACGATTTTATGGAGATCAGCTCTTGTACGACTATTTTGTACTGTAATAACTGGCCTTCATTTCGCAGAAGTCCTTCCCACCCCCTCAGAAAATGAAGAGAAACCCAAGTTGCCTCCCAGACGACCTACTTCTGCCTACCAAGAAAAGGCTCAGCTGGCAGCTACAGCCGCCGCGAAAAGGAGACCAGATGCCCCTGGAGTCAAATTTACTTTCATATTATATGAGAATCAAAGGAGGTGGCTTGGACTTGGTTGGACCTCATCACTATTCGGCTATGAACGAGCATCATGGACAGATGAGCACCTCAATGCAGCACCAGCAAGGGAAGATTTTGAATTACCCGACGTTGAAGAAGGAGCAGCAAGATGGAGATGGGTGGATAAGAGCGAGTGGCTTGTTGAAGGCGCTGGCGAGAAGGATGAAGGGGGTACCAAAGCAAATGATGATGCCAGTAATGGTGGGACTGGGTGGATTTATTACGACAACAAGGTACGATTTCCAATAATAACAACATATAGCAAAACCTAACATGAGCTTAGTGGCAAAATGGACGAAGAGGAGTCGATGGCTGGGGAAAATATACCCGTCGTCGAAAATGGTATCGTGACGCCGAACTCGTCGAAGTATCCCCCAGCACAGAAATCACCCCTTCCCCAACACCAACTAGCATGAGTCCCACACGAACCAACACAAACCATGAAACAACCACCACCTCAACAACAGTAAGCCCCGTACTCTTCTCTACATCTACATCTACAACCAGTGAACCACCACTGGACTATGCCGAGAAAGAAAGCCTAAGATCTGATAATTCAAGTACAAAAAGTAATTCCAAGAATCTAACCCCAGGGGCCTTGCGGAGACGGGGGACTGGAAGTACGACAACAAGGGGAAGTCGGAGGAGCAGTACTAGTTTCGGGACGGGTGATGATGATAGACCTCATACACTTACTGAGGCGGATTGGGGAATTGGTGATGATGCGAGGATGGGACTTGAGTGAACCTTTTTTCTGATGGCGTATGGAATGGCGTATTATGGTTTGGCATACATAGGCATTGGGCACATTGTCTGGCGATAAGATGTATAAGAATTGAGTAATTAACGAGGCATTGGCCTAACCCTGTTTCCCCATATTAAAGTGCAGCCTTTGGTTGGAATTGTGAGTTTATTTTGGTAGTATTCTTTGGTACTTAGCAAACGCCTTTGCGCTAAAATGCTTACTGGAAGTAGGTACGCTATTAACCTACAACGTTTCCTGTGGGAATTGCCGCTCCATAAACCGTCGACTATTCCTACATGACCTAGTTCGCCTCCTTTTCATGACCCATTCATATCAACCCGTTTTTCTCTCACAATGCCGCGCCAACTTTTCCTGTAAGCTTGCTCCCTCTACTTGAGAAAATACCCATAATTCCAAATCCCACATAAAACAACGCCAAAGGATACGCCACCAATCCTCTCATTCCCCTCATCCTTCCCACCGCACAGAACATACCCGAACTACTGTACGTACACCACACGATGGCCAAGCTAGTCAACATGTAGCCCATAATTCCATCCATAGGCAGCACTATCCCAATCAGACTCGTGAGAACTAATGGTAAGAGACAATATCCTAGTACAGAAGCCGATCGCAGGAATGTGAGGGTTGAAGAGAGATGTGAGGATTGCGGTTGTGGTGAGGAAGCACTGGGTTCCAGAGGCGGAGACATGAGGGAGAGAATTAAATGGAGTGAGCAACTGCCTAGTAGTGCGAGTCCGTAGATATATCCAAAATGCACTTTTCCGGAGAAGAGTAGGAAGGTTCCGAATAAGAGGAAGAATAGTATGGGACCTGCTAGATCGGAGTCGTCCATGATGTGTTGGTCGATTTTGGCGAGGGGGTTGAGTACTGCTAAAGTCTTTGATTCCATATATTAGCTCATATCCTTTATATATCTCATACGCAGCGAGGAGGAAGAGGGAAGATATACCTTGCTTTGTATGTGTGCGAAATTTACTCCTAGTTCTTCCAGTAATGGTGGTTCTCCTTCATAACCTTCTGTGCCAAACGCTGCTAACCATCCCGTTCTTAATCCTCCTTGTTCTCCCATTCTGCCACTCACTCCTGCTGCGCCTCCAAATCCGGAATTAAATCCCCCGCCTGGAGCACCGTAGCCTTGCGAAGACTGTGGTGCGCCATATCCGTACGATGCTTCTGAGGGTGTTGCGTGGCCGGATACTGGGTTGGGTGTATATGTGGATGGGTAGAACTGGAGGTTTTGCGCGGAGGAACCGCCGTATGGCGCATTAGGTGGTGGTTGTTGGAAGAACTGTGACATTTTGGGAGATGGTAGTGAGGTTACTCGCAAAGACCATAGATAGCTGCTGGCGTGGAGAGTGTGGCCAGATATTTGGGGAGGTAAAGAGTGCTTTGCGGGAGGCTGCTGTGATAATATAGATGTGTTTTCTTGAGCCTCAGGGCTGTGAATGCGGCGCGATTGGTTACTTATGTAAGCTACGCCGCTTCAACATCCTGGGCGGAAATATCCGCAGAGCTAAGTGGGAGGGAAAAAAGTTGAGGTTCAAGAACAAGACTACTCTCGCTCATTGACCTTCAACTGCTCATCTATCAAGGAAGACGCGCATTTCATATAAAGACGCAGTTCTGAACATATCAGATCCGATCATGGTTCGTTACCCATTTTTCTCCTTTCAAATCAGTTATCAACTTGCGAGTGTCCTATCCTACCTGATATATACTAACCAGACCCCAGGCACATCGGATAGTAACAAAAGTTATTATAACCGGCGGACGAGTCTTTGGTCGAGCTTGCGCAGAAGCATGGAAGCAAGCCTCAGCATCCTCTCAATATCAAAAAGCCAACAAGAACAACCCTAGTGGCGGGAGCGCATTCGCCTCCAATGGCCTCACCCTCGAAGAAGCATGCAAGATCCTAAACGTCAAACCACCAGTCCGAGGGCAAACGAACATGGAGGATGTCACCGAGCGATTTAAGCGGTTATTCGATGTCAATGACCCGGCGAAGGGGGGGAGTTTCTACCTGCAGAGTAAGGTTCTGAGAGCGAGGGAGAGGATAGAGAGTGAGGTGCGGGCGGCGGAGGAGAAGGCAAAATCCGAAGCGGAATTACGGGAAGGTTGGAAGCCAAAGGTGTATAAAGACCGATAGCAGTGAGAAGCACTGAGGAAAATTGTGGATGTTGGTGGTGGGGCAGTTGATGATACCTGATAGACAACTTGGGTAATGGGAGGTATTGGAGCTGGGCGCGAGTTCATTCGTATAGGATGCTCTCGGCTTGAGCGTTGGTCTCGAAATCTTCCCTCTTTATTCGACATAGCCAGGCGTTTTGGGGGTGTAATGTATATTTGGGATTTTTGGGCAGCATTTTCATGGACCCGACGGGTCTAGTTGGTGTACGATATAAGGTGGCATGAATAGACGAAATTCCAGACATCTGAAGGAGAACAGCAACGAGTATTTTCACTTTGTTCCAGTCAAGTAACAGCCGTATTTATCCTCCCTTCTGTTTTGAGTATCCTCGATACATTCCTCTTCTTGCAATTACTGGAGTTTCTTACTTATTATAGTCTGGATTTGTCTATGGAATACTTATAACCCGAAACCCAATGGGAATTATCATGTTGGGTTTTATTTCGGTATGCAATTTAGGGGGAGGGGGCTGTGTTTTCTGGTACAAGTTGTGTCACCCACCACTTCGAGCAGCTGCATTTCTATATATTACCCGGAACGCTTCATTCTAACCCACCTTCCTCGATTGCAACTCCGTCTCGTTTTTTATTCAACGTACACAATATGGCAGATCTATTGTCAATATCAGCAAGTGTTGCAGGTTTGATAGCCATTGCAGACACCGTGATCAGAAGGGGGTATAAATACATATCGGCAGTGCGAGATGCAGACAAGGCTGTTGCAAGCTTGATCAAGGAAATCAACCTTCTCTCTGGAATACTCCATAGCCTGAAAAATATCGCTGAGGGGCTGGAGAAAGGCGACACTGCTTTTGTGTCTACCACTCGAGTCAATCATGTTGGGGCATGCCACCGGACACTTGACAAGATTAGAAAGATACTGGGTGATTTTGAATTCTCAAGGACCACAGGAACTATTCAACAGGTCAAGAATCGCTTAAAGTGGCCTTTAGCCCAGTCGGAAACCAAAAGTCTGCTTGAGGAAGTTAGGGGGCATCGAGAAGTGCTCTCGCTAGCCTTGAATGCTGATGAACTGTCTACGCTCATTCAATTACTTGCGCGCTAGGATGTTCTGGGTGATGATTTGTTGGCAGTAAAGAAGGGACTCGAAGAAGATAGATTGCACAGGAAAAAAGTGGAGATGAGTAAGTCAAGAGACAACACCACTACATATACTTTCTGACAGTAAGAACATAGACCAGAAGGAACTTGAAATGCTGGATTGGTTGTGTCCACAAGATGTCAATCCAGAAGAAAACCAAAAGTCGGCTGTTTGTTTAAGGCAAGCAGGCACAGGTGTATGGTTCTTGGATGGCGACGATTTTCAGGAATGGCAATTGAGCAATAATTCTGCGCTCTGGATTCACGGCATTCGTATGTCATGTCTTATCCCATCTCTGGCAATGTCACTCCAACCATGTTTTGTTGCCAGCTGGCGCAGGAAAGACGATTTTGATGTAAGAATTGCTCACCGCTCACATCGCAGAGTAATAATGGAGAACAGATCTACTATTATCCAGGAGATTGAAGGGAAGCTTGGACACAATGAAGGTAATAGTTGTGTGGAATCATCTATGGAAGAGTGTTGTTCATGGCAAAATAGGTTTCGCTTATTTCTATTGTGATTACAAAGACCCCAACACGCATCAACCGAAATTCATTCTCAGTTCCCTCATCAAGCAATTTGTGTTACAAAAAGCGGAAGCTATGCAATTATCAATGGAATTCTACGAAAAGCATCGGCAGCCAGCTGGTAGATAAGGTTCACCAGACCTTGAGCCTTTACTTAAACAGCTCCACGAAGTTATGGAAGTATTCTCCACTGCAACTGTTGTCATTGACGGACTAGATGAAATTGCTGGGGATAGATGGGATACCATCGATCTGATTCAGCGTATCCGCCAAAAAGACAGCAGAACCAGAACATTATATGCAAGTCGTAAAGAAACAGATATTGAAACCTGCTTGACTGAGTACCAAAAAGTCTCGATAGCGGCTCAAAGCAGCGACTTGGCATTGTACGTTGCTTCTGAAGTTGAAAAAGAACAAGAAAGAGACAACTTTGCATCAAAGACCCAGATCTTAAAGACACTATCATGAACCGACTGGTCAATGGAGCTGAGGGGATGTAAGTCGCAGCTGATATGAACAAATTAGCCTAAAGTACTAACAGCTGCAGGTTTCGATGGGTTGCATGCCAAATTGATCATCTATGTGAGCTGCCAAATGATAGAGCAAGAGCGAAGGCATTGGACAGTCTACCTCGTGGGCTCCCCAAGACTTATGAACGTATTCTTATCCGAGTTCTTGAACGGCATACTGAGATCCACACTTTCGTCACAAGGACTTTTCAGTGGCTTGCATTCTCCAAAGATGATATTAGCAGCGAGGCTTTTCTCATAGCTATATCTATGAATCCCGAAGACAGCAGCCTGGACCCAAGTACTATCCCATCCGAGGACGACCTCTTGACTTGGGGTAAGACTGCCGTAGCGTGGCTGGCGCTGCCCAATTTCGCGCTCTTCTTTCTCCCTCCTCTCCTTTATATTGCTTCACGTTATGCTTTTGAACCTTATTTATGAATCAATATGTCGCTAACGTCCCTGTTTCTTTAGGGAGTAGTCTCATCCGTCATCGGGCCAATGGAGATGGAGTTGAGTTCGCGCACTTCACTGTTAAGGAATATTTGCTATCGCTTGCGACAACGAATGAACCACATATTTCAAAATTCGCCCTATACGAGAATGAAGCAAACCTGAACATTGGTCATACCTGTCTCAATTATCTTCTCTTGGACGGATTAGGGGAAGCCCCTCCTTCTGACGATATCTTTGCCCTGGTTAGTGAAGGTGGAGAAGAAGAAGAAATCCGACCGTACAAATTGTTCGCAAATCAGCTCATAAAACACCCCCTTTGTTCATATGCCGCTGGTAATTGTTTTAAACATCTTCAAGGCCATTTGGAGAATGGCGAAATAGTGGCACTTACACATAAACCCTTCTGCCCAGAAAAGTCGAACAACCTTTTGTGGTTCTGCTATACCCTTTTGTCCATCGAGGCTGAATGGTTTTGGGAGGCGCCGTTTACGGATACCACAACTCTTCATTGGGCTGCTCTTCTTGCCATGGATGAAGTTAGCTCGTGGCTTATAGACCAAGGTTGCGTCAATCGCAGGCACGCCCCTAAAGTGCGCATTGCAAGGCCTAAATGCATTGAGGGAATTGGATAGTAAGGTGATATACGAGTGTGGACCCCACGACGAGAACCCGAAGGGGTTTGCAATTGCCAAAAGACTCATCTGGGCAGGCGCCGATCCTTCCCGTCGTCCTAGTTCAGATGGTGAGTTGCCTACCCTTATTTTGGCATTATACTACAGCTGCAAAGACAACGAGCTGCTTCACCAAATAGCCGGAGGTGGTAAGAACCTTGACGAACTTACGCTAGAAGAGCTTGAGCACATAGTGTCATCCGAGTACAATGCTGATCTATACGCTACTTCAACCAACCTCTTTACTAATGTTTCGTTTCAAGAAGTCCCGGATATCTACAAAGTAAGTTTGGATCCTGGCATGTGTTTTGCTGCTATTCTATTTGAACGGGCTTGGGGGCAGGTCGGACACATTTTTCATCCACCTATGACACATTTACATATAGGAAGGCAAACAAAGAGCGGAATGACTACTGACAAATTACATCACTAGGAACGAGTTCTTGAGCTATCGAAGCGGTTGTCTACCGGTTCCTTAGTAGTCACTCTGAAAGTAAGGCTGAAGAAAACAACAAGATGCCCAAGAGCAGCTTGAAAGTTTCCGAGGCAATATTTCTGCAAGCCGCTGAGCATGGCATTGTAACTGAGATTGTGTCCTTGGTATCTTCCATAAAAGATCTTGCCAACGAGAAGGAACAGTTGCGAATACTGGCCGAGGGTCTCAAACTCGTTCTTCAATATGGGCATGACAGTTGCTTGGAGCACTTGCTCTCTCGCGGCGCCGACCCAAACATCCCTGATGATGATGGTGACACAGCACTACATGTTGCTGTAGAAGAGGTGAACAATTTCAACGATGACTCCGTTATTAAAAACGTGAAGACGCTCCTTGAATATGGCGCAGACTTCACAATTCAGAACAGATCAGGGGAGACGCCCCTGCACGTGGCGGCCAGAAATTCAGAACACAAACAGATTTTACGACATTTGCACCCGATAATTGATTCTGAGAGCTTTCAATTTTCGTTGTTTTCATCAAAACCAAGCCTGCTATTATGCGCGACAGAGAGCGGCTCGGATGACAATATCAAGTTCCTATCAGAACAATACGAATGTTTTGCCCTGTTTCCCCGGATTTTTGGAGCAGAAAACACTCTATTAGGTCTTGCCACTCTTCGAAGAACGGCGTTTGCAATGGATCTGCTTCTCAAAAAGGGACTATCCACAAAGACGCTAAACGCAGACGGGACTTCAGTTTTATATGATGCAACAACTTCTGGTCACGAAGAAGTATTTAAATATATTATTAGCCTCGGTACAATAGATACCTCGTCTAAGCTTGATGGCTGGAAAGCCATTCATGAAGCTGCCAAGGGTAGATTAACTGCAAAGCTTGCGGGTGAAGACCCAAACACGCAAACCGCCGATGGATCTTCAGCTCTACACTTATCGATAGAGTCAAGCTTGTGCACCCAGCTTCTATGCAGACAGGATCAGATCAACGTAAACACCAAGGACAATCGTGGCTTGACGCCTCTTATGGTTTTTTTTGAAGCTTTTTGTCACGAATCACGTGTTCACGTGATAAGAGAAGACCAGGCGGCGTCCTGAAAGGTCAAGCACTATCAGTACTCTTATAGCAAATAGGGACGCTTGGGCTAGCTAAGCGATCCAGGGATTTCATTCGGTTAGTATCACGTGACAGGGTCACATGATCGTTGGAGCTTGCAGGAGCTTGCGTTGGAGCTTGAGGATCTTGGGCTCCCCGTAGGCTCCACGAGAACGAAGGTTCTATATAAGACTGGCACTTCTGCCTTTAGATAGGAGCTTCGTGCTCAACTTAGTTATCAATCTTATCATATCAGTTTGACATCTTTGATACAAGTAACGAGTTCACTTCCAAGTGAACAACCCGATAGTCTTCTTCTTATCATAGCATACCAACCAGCGAACACCCAGCCAAGTTTAGTTAGCCAGTTTGAGTATTCGTTACACTTTTAGCAAATCGCTGCATTCAGAAAGCTCCGCTTCTACTCAGGAAACTGAATACCGCAAATCAATTAAGCTCAGTATTGGATTCCTGCTGGATCGAAAATCGGATGCAAGCTTGACTGATAACAGAGGTATGACAGCATTGCATTATTTACTCCAACCCAAATGTGGAAAAATACGTATACAGGAAAATTACTTCAACGTACTTCGCTTGATAGTCGCGTCTGGTGGGAATTTGGCTTCTAGATGCGATATGCATAAGAGACCATTCGATTATCTTCTGGAGGCGTGTGCTGATCTATCCAGATTTAGCTACTATCCTAATAAAGACGACTTTGAGGCAATCTTGAAATTCTTCATCAGCAACATCCCAAGAGAATCACTCAATGAACTTTGTGGCAATGGCATGACTCCGCTCGTATTCGCTATTGACCAGCAGAATATGATAATGGTTGAACTGCTTCTTGCCTGTCAAGAGGTTGACGTCGATATCAAAGACCAACACAGCCGCCTTGCAGCTCTTGAAATTGCGGCAAAAAACGGCTGCAATAAAGTCGTCGCTGAAACTCTTCTGTCTCGCACCAAATATTCAGTTCAAGCCACGAATCAAATTGCTGGCTTCAGTTTGTTACACTACGCCGTACAAGAGAAGAAAAAACAAACAATGTTGAAATTACTCCTCGAGACCAAAGCAGGGGATATACGAGCTCCAACCCGCGATGGACGGACTCCTCTTGAACTGGCTATCATGGCAGAAAATACTGCTGCGGCTCAACTACTGGTTGAAGCTGGCGTAGATGTCCAAAGTCCATTTGAAAATACAGGATATGCGATATCTCCTTTGCACTTGGCCTCTGAGGTTGGCTTTCTTCCAGTTGTCCAAAAGCTTGTTGATCTTGGAGCCAACGTAAACATGCATTCACAGGGTGAACAAGCGACCCCTCTACATTTTGCAGCGACTTCAAAAAAGGCAGCATGGGATACAAGTCTGTATTTGATTGAGAAGTGTGCGGACGTTAATGTACTGGACTACATTAGTTATACACCATACCTTGTAGCAGCGCGTTCTAATCGACGGAATATCGTTCAAGAGCACATGAAAATCGACAACAACTTAGACGGAAAACCAACAGATGGTCGCGACTTGCTATACTGGTCGATATACCATGGACAAAATACAATTTTGAAGTCTCTCCAACAGCGCGGTCAAGATCTGAAGTATGAAATACGAGATGATAAAAACAAACTGCTCGGAAATACACTTATGGTTGCTGTTCAAACTTGCAATGAAGAAGCTTTCGAGATGCTGTGGGATGAGAGCATTGTTGACTTTATATCCGATGATGGTTGGACGTTGGCTCATTCTGCAGTGCTTCCACAGAAAGACGAAGTCCGAAAAGACTGCTCGAGCACAATGTATCCTGGAACCTTCCGACAGTCCCACACCGGTTGCAAGAGGTAATCTCGGGGCATGTGACTACAGTGGGAGGTCTGACTCCTCTTCACATAGCGGCTATGAAAGGACTTGATCCCGCAATCACATTTCTTTACGATAAAAAGCTCATTCCAGATTGGAATACAGGCACGCTATCGCCAGACCATTATTCTGCTTTGCACCTGGCTACAATGTTCGGCAAACTCAGCACTGTGAAGCTTTTGAGCATATGCGGAGCAGATTTGAACGTGGTGGGTGGTATCGATCACCATACAGCACTTCACCAAGCAGCAAAGAGAGGATTACACGAATTTGTCACTGCGCTCCTTGAAGGTGGGTGCAAACCAAACGAGCTTGATATCCACGGCATGACACCCGAGCTTCTAGCTATTGAACACGGACATCAGGCTGTTATAGAAATTCTAGGTCGACATCTCGACGCACTGGAAGCAAAGGAAACAGCCACCCAGGACGACTCCACAGGCTCTCCTCTCAGCGGCTCCCACTCACCATCTACCGATGATAACAGTAGTATCAAAAGCTTCTCCTCGGACAGCTCCGACACTTCCACCAATACGATAGCTCGTTCAACCATTCCCAAAAGGCCATGGCGCCTGCCTCTTCATCGAGGTCCTGGCATTCGAAAGATCATGACGGAGGATTTGTCAATATATGCAATCAACGAGAAAGAATGTCCCGAAGAATTGCGGAAGATGCTTGAAGAAAATGAGGGGAAGCATGTTGAGTCTCTTGGGAATCCGTTTCGACGACGCATTTGAGATGAGATATTTGGGAGAATGACGAAATCAGAGTTGTGTTTTCCTTTGGCGCTATTTGGAAATAATATTCTTTGGTTTTTAATTTTCTTTGATCATAATACATTGCCACTCTTGAAACTTATATCTGGGTCTTTTAACTTTTTCATTTGTACAAGTTCGTGTGGCATATCCATTTTCTAATACGACAAAAAGCGTATGTACTAGAGTGAAGAAAAGGCAGTGCTTGGAATCTCCCCTCTTTAGTACTCCCAGCCACCCCTATCCACACTCCTATCCATTCCAATCCGTACAAATCAGCGAGCTCGCCTTCCTATTCCTATCCGGACCAACCAGTACTCCTTATCCTCGCCAGGGCACCGGATAGGAGAGGGCGGGAGCACTCCTGAGGCTCGGTATTGTAGGTTTTAGTGGGTCTAAATAGGTACCTAGTAGTAGTTACTAGTTAGTGGTAAAACAGGGGGAAATTAGATAGAAATGCACGTCCTCGCACATCTTATAACCCACGTGACCCAGTATTAATTCTGCCCCCGATCCCAATCCTCACCTATTATTAAACCACCATCCCGAAATCCCTGGTTTTAATACAGAATGTAGTAATTAGAACAAGAAGATACATTAACCAATTTCCACCCTAATGCCCTATTCCCCTCTCAAGAAGCTCAAAGTGAAGGTCCTCGATATAACCACGTCGCCAAGTATTTTTTCGCTTAATCACTCTAGGAATCAACAACTATTCAGCATGAGCCAAACCTATTCCCAGGTAGCTAGACCCAAACTTCGACCGGGAGTTAGTATCTATAGGGTAGTTATACCGTTTGGTTCTACACCCGTTTTATTGTGTAAAGTAACTCTTTTTTAACGCTAATCATCTCATGAAGTCTCAATTCTGAAGTACCCACGTGCTAAAAGACTCACTGAAGCAAGGACGCCGTCTTTGAGAATTTCTATGCACTTTTCCCTTTTCCTCCCGTCCCACCACCTCCTATTTTCAATCTTCGATCATTATAACTACTCACTCACCCACTCATCCCCTTCCAACATCACTTCATCTCCCCTCCTCTCACCACACCACCCATCAAACCCCAAAAACCCCACCAAAATCCTTCTCAAAATCTCACAACAGTACCCACCAAGAAAACCCATACCTAGCTACAGCCATGTAAAATCACCCCACCCCATCCCCTCAAACCCACTAAACCCAACAAACTCCCTCAAATTCTACAGAACACCAAGTGACCGACCAAGACCCCCAACACACCCGTCCATACATCCTAACTCCCATCTCCCACCTCCCGCACCCCCAAATCCCCCACTAACTTCCCCACTCACACTCCAACCCCACCTTCACACCCCCACAAACAAAACTACAACAAAAAAGAAAACCTCACACAAACAACTCAGTAGTACTTTTCAGTTGACTTAAAAAAAATCGATACCAGTGATATGGATCCAGCATTACAAATTACTACTTCAGCGATGAGAATCCAGCACAGAACACGATACAGTACTTGGTTTATTTTGTTGAGAGAATGTTTTTGTTGTCTTTGAGTGGTGAGTTTTGAGTTTTGATGAGTAGAGTTGGAAATGTTTGGTTTTTTGAGTATTTTGCAGGATTGTGGACTTGGAATTCTTGAGTGACTGAGTTGTAGTTAGTAAAGGGTCTTATTGATTTTGGGATAGTTTCTGGGATAATTTCTGGTATTGTTGGGAGTAGGTAGGTACTGTATAAGGAGGAGAAGGAGAAGGATGAGGACAAGGAAGTCTCATAATTCAACTACGCACTCAGCAATATCATGTTCAGGCAAAAAGAAACACCCACTAAAGCACCCAATCAAAAGTCGACACCATGACGCAAGCAAGAAGAAAAGAAGCAAGAAAAAAGATTCATCACTCACCCCCAAACCCCCTTCTCTTCAGCAATATACAAGTCAAGCCAAGCCAAGCCAAGCCAAGCAACCTCATCCAAAAGGATGCAAAAGAAAAATCCCACAGCTAGCTACAATAGCATAAAAAGGAAAGCCATCCACCCATCCATCTATAATACAACACCACAACACTCCTCACGAATCCCCATCCGTATCTCTCATAAGCAAACCCACAACCCCCGTCACCGCACCCCATGGTCCTTTCTCTTTGACGAGTTTCTGGAACATGTCGGGGATTTGAGGGAGGGTGTTTCTTTCGTCTTGTTGTTGCCCTGTGGAGACATTAGTTGAAAGGTTCGTTGTTGGAAAGGATGAGGATGGGGAGTAAGAGGGAAAGGGGAAGAAGGGAAAGTGGTATACATACAACTCTTCGGAACCCTCGCATTCGCAGAAATCGAACTCTCTGCCTCACCCGTCAAATCAAAGCCGATTTTCCATTCTAGGAGAATCTCAACTTCTTCGTTGACTATCTCCATACTGGTCCGTCCCATGTGAAGTAGTAACTGCTTCCTAGTCCACGCAGGTTTCTCGTTGCTAGAACCTTCATCTTCATCTTCCTCTGCCATAGCCATTCTCTTGCGTTTCCTTCCCGTTCTCAGAGCTTTCAAAGATTTGGCTCTGGCTTCAGGTGTACCAAGTTGGCTCTCAACTTCACACCAGAACTTTGCTCTCTGAACAGCGACCTCCGTCCAACGTCCCATAGACCAGCAAATGACACCAGGTTCCTTGCTTCTGCCATCTTTAGTCTTTGATCTGACGAAAGCTCCGAGTTCTTGCTCAGCTGCAGGATCAAGTCTCGGGACTTCAAGCTGCTTCACAGATAAACTCTCCGAGTCAACAAGCATATCAATCCTTGCAGCAAACGAGCCTGAAGGATGAGAAGCATGTATAACATATTTCTGCGCCGATGCCTCCTCCTCAAGTGTGACAGTAGAAGTAAACATCAATGGTGAGAAAGCTTGTAAATACGGAAGAGGGTCGTCTAAATGGGTCGGTAGATGAGAAGGGAGTGGTTTTTCAATCTCTGAAATCCTAATAGCTTGTGTCTTCCGTCGAGACGAAAATGGCAAGAATGAATTGATAGATTTGAATATGCTCACTGGTTTCGGCTTGTCTTGCACGGGTTTCTGCGTAGATCGTTCTAGAAATGCCAGCAGCTCTTCGGAATTGGGAGCTATAGGCGCACGTCGCTTTCCTGCCTCTTGATGGGCCCGTAATCGCTCATTTTCTTGATTTGCAAGAGCTACATCTGCTTGCAATTCTTGAAGCTGCTTCAGTAAAGCATCTCTAGCTTTCCTCTTCTCTGCGTGCGGATCCTCTGGGATTGTAAATCTAGCAGACTTTCGGCGTTTTGTCGATTGATCAATTTTCGGCTTTGGAGCAGAGATAATTTCTGGCTGTGAATCTGGGATGATTTCTTGACTCGATTCCGTTACCTGACTACGAGGCTTCAGGGGTGATGATCTCAGCTTCTCAACTAAAGCCCCATTTCTTCTACCTCTCTTACTTGGTGTGTTGTGGATACCTTTTGGAGGCGTTGTAACCACTGGATCATCGAGACCTTTTTGAGTTGGAGTAGGTGGTAACTCGGGCTCTCCATGAAATCCGGGTTTGCTTGGCCGGCCGAGTTCAATCATATCTGAAGGTTGCTGCTCTATATCCACATTTTTAGGGAATTCAAGGGGCGCAATTGGTTCTTCATGACGTTGGCTACCACTGAATACATTTTTCTCTGGTAGAGAAATGAGCGGAGATTCATCCAATTCTGGAACGATGGTCTCTTCCAACTCAATTGCCCCAAGAGATATTCTTGCAATAGCGGGAACTGGCGCTGTAGGGGTTGTAGATTCCGTCTGGCTAGGTGGGGCTTGCAAAGTTTCCGGATTAGAAGCCTGAACAGGACTCCTTCTTAACGCGCCTCTACGGGTTGTTGCTAGCACCTGATCAGGAGATAATCCGCTTTCCTCAACTGGAGCTCCTACTATCGGAGACCTGCGCAAAGCAGATTTTCGGAATGTTGGGACTTCGGGTTGCTTTTCTTCAATGGCGGCTTGTGTCTCAGCTGGCTGGATAGAATGGACCGGTGAGTTCCTCAACCTAGACTTTAGAGAATTTTGAGTCTCAGTCTCAGCAGGAGAGGCTGATGGTTCCTTTGCGTTTACTGGGTCTTGCGATGAATTGCCCACCGGTGATCTCCTAAGACGCCCCCGAATTGGTAATGGATTTTCTGGTTCTATTGGTGCATTAACCTCCACAGGTGGCGATGAACGTAATATTGGGGATCTCCTTAGTACTCTTGCAGTTGTATTTGGACGTTCGAGCTCGGGCTCGTTTTCAAGTGGTGCATCGTCACTAGGCACAGGTTCCAAAGGCTGTGTAACTGCAATCACAGGTGATCTCCTCAAAGCCCCTCTACGTACTGGCGAAATCCCAGGGAAACCTCCAAGTTGAGCAATGGCCGAATCAGGTTGCGCAGGAGGTTGCAAGATAACAGGAGACCTTCGAAGAGCAGGTTTAGGCATAGGCGGAGTTTCCGGTTGTTGTTGAACTTCCTTCTCAACTTCAGGCTGCTGAGATGAAACTGGCTGCGATGAAATCGGAGACCTTCTCAACCCAGTCCTTTTCTGAAACGGATTTATATCACTTGGAATATCCTGAGAAGGATTTGAGTTAGGAATCGCATCGCCTTGAGAGGTTGTTGGTGACCTCCGTAATCCTCCTTTCTTCTGAAATGGATTATCAGGCAAGTCCCCGCGGTATATATCAGGGACATTGGATGTTCCCGTGAAATTTTGCACTTTCACCGGCGACTTCATAGGTGATTGAGACCTCCTTCTCGGTTTCCCTGTCACTACCGACTTCTTCCCCCTAGGCGTAACTGGCCTACTCGTCCCCAGCGCTGTGCCTACTCCTTGTCCTGTCGCCCCTTGTGATGATGCCCTTTCCGGTTCCTCAGTAACTCCCAAATCCTCACTCCCAGCAGGGTTTCCTCCCAAAAACTTCGCAAATAACCCATCTATCTCCTCCTTCCCACCTGGTTTCCCTGAGCCTGCCCCAGAAGACGTAGGACGACTCAGCAATTGCGGATTGTGTCTAGAAAAACTCGCTTTCGTAGGCGACGCGAAAGAAGGCCTGCTCGTAGGAGTTTTGTCTCCATCTCTTCGCAGTACGGGAATTCGACTCGGGGTCGTGGGCGCGTTGATGGGGAGTGAGGTTGTTGGCGACGTTTTGCGCCGCTTCGCAGGGGAGTGTTCCATTCGTTCTGTCGTAATTAATTATACCATTTACATCGTCAACCGGTATTGATACACGTAGCGCTGTAGGTTATAAATTGCCGACGATAGGTTGGATGCTGCTGTCGGGTTTGGTGGTGTATTATTGAAGTCGCGTAACTTTCAGGAGGACGCGCCGAGGGGAGCCGCCCTCCTGGTGCTGCGGCCTGAAGCGAATGAACTCCGGGTTCGCAATAAAATTTAAAGCTCATTCTGAAGGGAATTGAGAAATATTCTCAAGCAATATCTATCAAGAGCCTTAAATGATATCAAAATACAAATTTCTTTTTCTATGGATCATTAATCTACCTATGCAATAATACGGCAGCCTCCCGAAAACCTTTCGGATCAACAAATTCAATGACGGCCGAGGCCATCGGCAGCGGGCACACCTGCAAATCCGCGGGCCTTGCGACAATCAAGCTCCATACCTCCACAAAATACCATGATTCCCCGATAACACGCAACACAACCTCTAACCCTCTATTGAGAGATAACCCACCATACCAAACAAAATGGAAACCAGATTCCTCCTCCGCCTCCCAAAGCGCATCCCCCTCCCTCAAATCCGCAAATTCCACCCCCAGCAGCATCCACGACAAGAATACAAACAAGCAAACCCACTAGGCTCCTACTACGAGGCAATCCTCGAGTCCTCCTCCCAAGCCATAACCAGCCAACCCCCCACAACCGCAAGCCCCTCCTCGAATCCTCCCATCTCCGCAAAAGAAGAGGAAGAACCCGAAGCACCAATCCTCTTTTCCTCACGGCTCTCCTCGCCTCTAGAACGGCGATCGGAGATCAAGAAGAAGAGTACGCTGGTCGCGGGTATATGGGTGCCACCCAAACCAGATGAGCCGGATGATTGCTGTATGAGTGGGTGTGTGAATTGTGTTTGGGATCGGTATGGGGATGAGCTTGTGGAGTGGGCTGCGGCTAGGAAGGAGGCTGATCAGGCTTTACTGAAGGAGAAGAGTTTGGAGAAGGTGAAGAAGAAGAGGAAGGGAGTTGCTGGGACGGGGTTGATGTTAGGGGAGGGGGAGAAGGGTGCTGAGCATACGATGATTAGTATGGATGATGATGGGGGTGGGAGTGAGAGTAATTGGGGAACGGGATTGAATCCAGATTTGAACAGTGATGATCTATTCAAAGGCGTTCCTGTGGGAATTCGAGAGTTCATGAAGCAGGAAAAGAGACTGAAAGAGAAGCGGGCCCGAGAAGAAGCGGCTGGGTAGAGGGTGGCCATACAAGAAACGAAAGACTGTGTATATACGATTCCCATAGACTTCTTTTATGGGCTGGTTTATGGCTCTTCTTTATGATTATGAACCTAATGCCTTCAAGAGAACCTTCATTCTGAGCTTCCGTATTGACCCAAGAACTTTGCTTCCAACGAACGAATACCATATCCCAAACAGAAATGCAATCCATCTAATCGACATCGACACCCTTTGTTCTCAAGTCCGCTCTGGCCAAATCGATTTCCCTCATAAGTTCTGCATGTGCTTTTGGTACATCGTTGAATGTGAATACGCCCAGTCCGAGACTAAAGAGAAGGTAGGCGCCGAAAGAAACAAGTGCCCAGAATGGCAGCTACAAAAACACGAGATTAGCAGCATTCGAGATAGTTGTAGTGGCATCGCTGTAGAAAGTGCCCGCAGAAGTCGCAGGCGGGAGGTTCATAGACTAATCTACATCCATTGCCTTCCTAACAGCCTTGCAGAAAGAATAGACATCGGCTTTGTGGCTGTTTAAAAAATTGCAAAGGTGTGAAGCTGGGTATGATGTCGTAGATTCGAAACCCCTCTGTTCTTCCTGCTCTGTCTCCGCGATTGTAGAATGAATAGGAACGACTGAGATTTTGCAAAAGAAACGCTTAAACATACAACAGGAATAATCTGTTCCGAGAACACAGCCGGCAGAGGAACAAGCTGTAAGTAAAGTGCCAAATAAAGCTATGGAAGGATCAGTTCATCTTGCGCCAAAGCTCAGATCAGTTAAGGGGGACGTACGGAGGCAACCAAAAGGCCCATGGAAATAACTTGTTGTGCTCGTGTCATGATTGCGATTGTAGTTTCGTATGGGAGCGATTTGCGTGTGGTATTGAGCGGTGGTGGAGCTGGGGAAAGGAATGTGGTTCGTAAGGAGTGAGGCTGATGATTGAGGACACTTTTGGGGGGAAGTCGCGATGGGATTTTGGAGTCGCGATTTGATCATGTGATTTTGGGTTAAGTGCAGGTGCAGGCGGGAATCAAATCAGTTTCTATCCCATGGATGGGAAATGAAATTGGAAGGTATTAGTCTCTTTTTTGGTTTGAGGCTATCTGGTTTATTGGAAGCTCAAGACACATGAATCATAGTTTACCTAGGTATATGAGTTGAATTCCGTCTAAACTAAAGTACGGGCAATGAAGTCGACTTCCCTGTCGCTGGAAGCTCCCAGACTGAAATAAAGCTTATGTTTTCCAGTTGCAAGCCTCCAAGGTTTGGGCCTTCTCATATGCGCAGTACATTTATTCCATATGTACCACCATGGACCAATCTTTTCAAGCACCTCTCAAGCTCTCAAGGAGCCCTTGAAAGGAGACTGCCGAAAGTACGAGTACCTTTTGAAATATGCAGCACCTTCCTTTGACGTCCAAGGCAAATTTCGATAGCACAAATCAATGAACAATAGTATTGCCATGCCGGCATCCTCATTTTCTCTGTATCCAGACGTGATCGTGATCTTCCCACATCAACCAGGCACCTCAGACCTGTCAACAGCTATGTAGCTGCAGTCGTCGTACTCAAATACCGCGCCCGCGCGCCTCTTCACCGTGGCCATTTCTCAACCCTCATCTTCGAATATCTTTGCGTGGTCATCCATCGGGACTTGTGTTCAAATTCACTCTTCCTCATATCACTGCTTGAAGCAATGAATACAACGAAAAGAAGACGGACGAGCCGTTGGAAGCAATCAAAAATTCCCCCGATCAGGACCCCGAAGGATACTGAACAGATCTCGATACCCCGATGTGCAATGGAGATCTCGTTCTGCCGAGTCCATATGCTTGAGCATGGAATCTCGTCAAGAAGGTAAGTATGAAGAGAAAAGAGAAAAGAAGTTGAAAGGAGGGGGGAAGCTGGAATATTTATACCTGAAGGCTGACGCTAAAACCGGGTGATCGGATGTTGTTTTTCCGAGTTTGAGCATTTTCACGTGATAGTTTGAGCAATTCCCCCGCCAGGTTCCAACTTCCATTGGAAGAGGAAGCTGAAGCCAGGCCTCATGTGCCCGAGGCGTCTAGTGGAGTCTAAATACATAAGAGTGAATGTTCAACAAGCCTCATTGTTCCAACTTTGTAGCTCAAGCGCTTGAAATTAACCCAGACTTTCGAACCCAATTGATTGATCAACTGTTCTGAAATAATCATTCCAAGTTTCTATGAGGTTAGTAACATGAATTGGTCCAGGAAAGTGGAACAATGAGCTTGAGATCTCCATTTCAAATGGGTAATTGTGAATTGTCGATGCCAGTTGTACAACATCGCAAACTGTCCCAGACACTCTGTACAAATGGTACAATTAATCCAAGCGATTTGCATAGTTCAGTAAAACGAAATGATACGCTTATGGCCGGGTCAATTTTCTGGAGGGAAGAGGCTTCATTTCTGTTTCCATTGCTTTATAGGTATTTCATCAGGAGAATCGACAAGTAGCTTCTTCAAAGCTGCAATACAACTGGGTTACAGAACAGACTACATGATATACAATATCTCAATATTTCCAACTCATCAAAATAGTAATAAGTTCTGGTGACGCTTTTCAAGATTCCAGCTGGAGGTTGCGTCGCCTACACGTGACAAGCACTTTTTGCCCCATATCTAAGGCTAATACAAGGCAAGCGCACATTTCGAAAATCCATGATTGTGGGCTGCCTCGCTTGCCCTCACCCCAAAATATTTCGACCATCGACGACTTCTTGATCGCAATCACGACAAAACGACAAAATGGCGATCAAGCACAACCAGCAGATCCCACACAACCGTAAGGATTTCTCTCATGTCTGCATTCAATTGAGTACTAAATTCTAGCTAGATTTCCGAAAGGATTGGCAGCGACGAGTCCGCGTCCACTTCAACCAGGTAAATCAGCCCAAGATGGAATCGCAGATGGACAAGCAGAGGAGAATCTAACTTGGAATCGATAGCCCGGACGAAAACTCAGACGCCGCAATGCTCGTCTTGCAAAGGCCTCAGCTGTCGCACCACGACCAGTCGACAAGTTGAGACCTATTGTTCGATGCCCAACACTCAAGTACAACCGCCGCGTACGAGCTGGACGTGGTTTCACCTTGACCGAGTTGAAGGTAGGAAATTTGAGGACATCATAGATCGCGAAGGAATCGGATTCTAACAAAAACCACAGGAAGCTGGTATCCCCCGCAAGCTCGCACCAACAATCGGTATCTCCGTTGACCCCCGCCGCCAAAACCTCTCCACCGAATCCCTCGTTGCCAACGTCGACCGCCTAAAGGCTTACCGTGCCCGCCTCATTCTCTTCCCCCGCAAAGTCGGTCAATACAAGAAGGGTGATGCCACCAAGGAGGAGGTATCCGGCGCCAAGAACACTCTCTCAAGCGTCCGATCCGGTCTACCAATCGTCAACGTCGAGGCCGGTTTCTCAGAAATCAAGAAGGGTGATGTTCCATCAGCTATCGAGGGCGGTGCTTTCAGAAAGCTTAGAGTATCAAGAAGCGACCAAAGAAACGCAGGCAAGCGTGAGAAGCGGGCAAGAGAGAAGGCTGATGAGGCTGCCGCAGCTAAGAAATAAATGGCTTGATTTTCTCTGGGGTCTCTGTTTTCGCGTCGATTTTGCTGGATGGGTGAGGGTTACATTGGCATCTTACTGGCTTGCTTAGGTGTACTTTCATGAATGCAAACGACTATGCACAACTTCCATATTTGGGACATGAATTCATTGGAACTGTGAGAGCTATGGAAGCCATGTGAGGGACCGAATCTGGGGTGAAAAGTATCTTTTTTCATGATAATAAAAACATGGGCCGTGGCAATGGTGTATTTGGTGTATTCGTCGTTTTCACCTCATTGAGGGTAATGAGAAAATTAACAAAAAAGTGCCTTCAACGAGTTTCTTTTCTTCCTGTTTTTTGTCTTCGAATATTGAAGTTTCCTCTCTCATAAGTTTTCGTCTGCTCTTATGTTGTGCAATAGCGTAGTAAATTCGTGTAGTTGAGATGAGTAGTGGCACCTACCCAACTCAACTCAACTCAATTGAATCATCTAATCATACTCATTCAAATCAACTCGAGGACTCGAGTTGGCTTGAAGATGAGTCGTTTTGTTACCACGCTATTGTACACGCGAAACGCTTTTTCCAGGACTCGACTCGTTTTCACATGAGGCTCAAGTCTTGAGTATGAGTCTGTTTATTCTATGCTTCTCTGTATAGAGTGTGTACAGAGCAGCAGTGAAGCAAGTTACCTACCTACAGTACCTATGTCACAAACACAAACATAAACCCATCTACCAGCTCCAAGACTATTTATAAACATTATTTATTCACTGACATCTTGTTATAACTCTTTCGTCATGTATTCTGTTCTGTGCTTTGGGGTTACTTTTTCTATTTTACCCTATTGATCTATATTACCCCATCGTCCATACAACTCTATCCATCCACTCTACTCCCTTCTAAATACCTGGATCCCTGGATCCCTGGAGCCCTACTACGGAATATTTATTTTGTCTGGATACCTAAGCTGAGATATTAGCTTTCTTCGCATATTGGTGTTAAATACCAAATACCAAAGTCAGAGATACACCGTGCCAAAGTCTGATACGAAGAATATATCAGTCATACATCTACACCATCAAATTAAATCCCCTCACACCACACAACAAACCCGGGACGTAAAACCACCATCCAACAATCCCCCAAAGCCCCCCAAAAACCCCAAAACCTCACGCCAAAACCCCAGGACAAAGTCGAGAAATCACGGGTCTTGTGGGGGACTTCAGCTATTGTGGGACGAAGTCAATAATCAATATATATATCAAGAGATGGAGGGAGAACGGCGGGAAAAGAATAAGATGGGTGGTGGATGTGTTGATGTGAAGGAGGGGAAGGGTGGGAAGAGTGAGGGTGTGAAAGGTATGGATAGTAGGAAGGGTGAGGGTGTTAAGGGTATGAATAGTGGGAATGGGAAGGGAATAAAGAAGAAAGGAGAGTGTCCTAGATGTGGTGGGGGGGAGTACCATGGGTATTGTCCTGGGTGTGGATATTCTTGATTGATTGCTTCTGAAGTTCTGAAGTTCTGGGTGTTTATTTGGGATGGGACGAGTGGAGAAAGGCGTTATAGGATTTGAGGTCTCAACAAGTCGATGTGTTCTCTGAAAGGGAATTTGGAAGGAGGGCGTTTATGAGGGTTCCAGTATTTTTCTGGGGGGGGTTTGGGAGGTGGTTGTTTGGGGAGGGTATGGTATAGTAGTGATGGTATGGGAGGAGGGGTGTAAGGTGTAAGGGGTTTAGGTTTAGGTTTACCGTTTGTGGTACTGGACTATGGAAAGCAAGAGTTATTTTGTTAATTCGATTCTACTCTTTCATATTAGTATTACTCCCTACACCTACAGTTAGTCTTCTTCTATCCTTGATACTTAGTGAGCTAGCTTAGTGACTACGGCTACTGTCTACATGTCCTTCTATGAAGTGTCTTTCTCAACAAGAAAGAGTGCTACAGTATAACCAACACCTCTTCCAAAGTATTTCACACCCCTCCCGCGTTTACATCAACCCCTACAACCCCATCTATCAATCCCAACCATGAGAAAAACATCCACACTCAGCAACCCGAGGCCGGGCCGGGGTTCGACGAAGATAAGACGACTTTAACTCATATACTCTTAATCTAGAGTTCTCAGGTTACATTTCTATTTCCGCCACCCACTCGTCCCTCGCTTAGCGCTAGCCGTTCTAAGTAGATTATATGATATAAGTTAGGGTACTATTCTAGTGATTTTTGATTTTTCGGTAAACAACTAAAATACCCCCTAATTATTCATTAACGATAGAACTACGAGTACCCCCTAGTTAATATTTTTACGATAAAACCATAGGTACCCTCGATATACCTCCTTACTACTTTACTTAACGTAGTCCACAAGCGAGTGGGATTCCCGAGCGAAATGGATTTTTTTCTTGGCATTTTATAAATTCTTAAATATCTCACGACACAATTAATTAAATTAATTACAGTATTCAGAATCGGAATCCTCACATATTTCTTCTCCTTTTTGACAAGTTCGTATGTTATGGCCATGTTTCCCACATAGTACACAGCGCCGGCGAGGTACTAGACTCGGGCTCGTACAATTACTATTTTCTACTAAAACCACTTGTTCTTGCGAATCAACATTACTAAGGACCCCTAAATCTTGCGCATCTTGGAGAGTAAGTGATCCTCCTTCCTGTAATCGGCGCTTTTTCGTACGACGACGCCGACTAAGTTGATCATTTGCTGTACGAAGTGTAGCATTCTCAGCTCGTAATAAAGCTACCTCAGTGATTGCACGCTGTGCACCCTTTGCAAGCTGGTCTAGGCCATATAGAATCTGGGTCGGAGAACTATCTTGGTGTCGTACGACCTTGTTTTGTATATATGACGTCTGGGAATATGCCTCTGTTATGTTATTTGGGGTCTTTGGTTCCCAAATAGCTAGGAGGCTTGTTGAGGTAGATGGACGTGACGGAGTCCTTGGACGTATATCAAGCTGTGAAATCACAGAATCTGGGTCGTACGGCACTAAGCCAGATCCTCGAAATCCTCCTCGAATGTTTGATTCAGTCATTGTCGTACGAAAGGCAGTATAGAATGTTGATAAGAAATCCTCCTTAGAAACATATGTAATGTGGAGTCGCATTAATTTCTCAAGTTCAGCACCGTACGACCTTTTTGACGCTCGAAAACATCCTACATCGAGTGGCTGGAGTCTATGAGAGGAATGAGCTGGCATGCAAAGAGTAATAATGTTATTACTCTTACAAAAAAGCTCAAAATCGACTGAGTGGTGGCTTTCATGGCCATCAAGCACAAGCAGCCGGTGAATGCCCTTCGCACGAAGCTTTGTATGCCGATGGAAATGAAAAATCCAATCTAGGGCTCGCTCATTTGTTGTCCAGTCATTTGTAGTTACAGCAATTACCCAGTCGCGTGGTAATTGGCTGTTTTCGTACCAGGAGGAGAGGTGGTTCTTCCCCGCCAAAATGATATATGGAGGCACTACAAAGCCGTACGACCCAACACCTTGAATTACTGTTGCCCATTCCCGGTTTCCTTGCTGTACTGTACGAGGCCGAGAAAGCCTTTCGGTACTTGTAACAACCATTTCTGATGTAATTTGGCCCATACAAAACCCAGTCTCGTCAAAGTTATAAATATCCTCCTCCTGAACCCCATATTTGTCAATTATATTTCGTACGAGGCGAAACCACGCGTTATACGCGTCTGGATTTTCGCATTGGACTCTTTGATAATCAATCCTTCGATTAAAACGCGTCTTAAGTTCAGGTTGTCGTCGTACGAAGTTCGAAGTCCAGTTCTTGCCAACGCGTCCTGCACCCCGCTCCGAGAGGATACGATTCGCCATATCTTCAACACAACGTACTCGTGGAGGAAATGATCGAGAATATGTCGTACGATAACTATTTCTTCAATCTCTGTAAGTTTTCGAGATTTAGCGATAGAATCTTGTCGTGATAATATTCCATGAGTTCG